CGCCGAGCTGGACGAACGGCGGCGGCACGCGAGGAGTCCTCTTCTTGTTCCTTCTATAAGTTCAATTAAATGCCTAAACTTAAGTATGAAAATACGAAAGGTTTAAAAATTGGTGTGGGACAAGGGTTTTTACTCTTCCCTCATATTCAACTTTGAGAATTAATTTCTCATTTATCCGAGCACCGTTTATGGCGTGTGATATGTCAAGACATTCGTCTTGCTTACGAGATTAAACGCCCATAATTATTTCGGAAAATAATTTTGTAGACCTAGCGAATTTATGTCCAAAAATGTCCAATTTATTTAAAATTTCCAAATGATGTATTTCTACAAATCTATAATTTTTCTCCATGTATAAATTCCAAAATATATTAATACAAAAAGTATTAGTAATCCAATGATCCTTTTTCCTTACATTTATTTAAAAACATAAGTTTCCGACCTTATAATTATATACTTTCTCTGTTTCTGAGTATTTGTCTACTTTTGACTTTTTTGGTTAAAATTAGTAAATTTTGACCTCAAATTAAATAAAAATGATATAGGATATTGATACAAAATTAGTTTTATTTGATTTATTATATCATTCATTTTCAAAATATTATTTTATCTACTTAATATATAACATATATTTTATTTAATTATAAGTTAAATATTGAAAAGAGTTAATCGGAAAAAGTCAAACAAGACAAATACTCAAGGACGGGGTTAGTAATTAAACAATAGGATTCTTCTCTTGCATAATCCCAACTTCCATCCCCCTGACCCGCCCCGCAATGATTATAACAAATTATTATCTTTTCTTGCTTTATTAAAAAACAAAATCTTAAATTAGCATTCCTAAATCTCTATGATTAAAATTTTTAATTCTAAAATATTAAGAATCAATTATTCTTCTCCCCCACATTGATTTTAAAAAACATTAAAATGCTAGTGCTCCAAAATTTTTTTCATGATAGTATTCTAGTCAAGATATGAAATGTTTTATCAAAATACATATAGTTGCAAATTGAAAATTGTATTTTGTTTGATGTGGTTGTAACATGTAACTGAGTGTCAAACTTATTAGCTATTGCACTTTAGATTTTCTGCACAATATTTCTTACTTTTTTTTATCCTAAATCTTCATTGTCACAAATCTTCTCATGCTTCCCTCCACACCTTGATATATAAAACAAACATTGTCTTTTGATATATACCCCCTCTGTGTTTAGATATGATCTTCTCAATTGACTTTTCTTGTAAATTTTATATATTTAATCTCGCTATATAGAACAAACATTGTCTTTCGATAGAAATGCATTGCCAATAACTTCTTTTTGAAATTAAGGAATTTCTTAATGTTTGGTACCTCCTATTTTGAAGATATAAAAAATATGCATTTTTATTTTGGTATTTTCTGCATGCTTATTCCTATTCTGGTACAGAGTATTTTTTTTCCAAAAAAATTATAGCGACCCTTTACATAAGACATATACTCCGTATACAACTTAAATTGGTCTACCCAGATTTTGATTAAAATTGCCACATCATTCAATCGTTAATAGGTGGCGGGTGATTTGTTAAAATGTTGCTATGTAAATTCACCACTTGTCGCAATTCTATGAGATTAACTCTCAAATTTAATATATAAAAATGCTATTAATTCTGTTTATGGGCAATAATGGTCCTCAGGCAAACATGGGCAGACGAGATTAGTGTGACTACAATGAGTTTTCATTATGTCATCACAATAAAAAAAAACAACTTCCTATTAAATCAAAAGGATCATCCACGCCTCCGAATCGTGCAGCATTCACCATATAGCATAAACTATAGCACTTGCAAAAATTTGGATCACACTCACTTGATACTCCGCCCAATAAAATAAACTTAAAAATAAGTACTTTCACCAATACCATCATCATGGTCTTGCTATGAAGACCACTTTTCCTATTATCATAGAAAAGATAATATAAATATTGATAGCAAAAATTGCTACTACAATGATAATAAGAATTAAATTAATAATAATAAATATACTAGTAATATATTGTTGTTGTTGTTATTAACAACAACAAAAATTATTATTATTATTAAAGCAGTAGCCTTGGAAGTGGGAAATGACATAGAATAAGAAAGGTCTATGCAAACATACATATTGAGCAATATTTTATTTTGTGTATGGTACTTATATTTTGAAATTACAATATATGGTTCAAAATGACCATTTTATAGAATTTATAATTTGATAGAGATCATTTGGGTTAGCTATAAGACACTTGTGTTAACCATATTAAAAGATTGAATCTAATTGATTTCTAATTCAACCCAAAAACTTATAGACCCTTTATTTTCTTATTTATTTTTTGATGTGAGATACCGTAACACCTCATCATATAGACAGCCAGGTCATTTTGATCTAATCGATTTACTATTTACAAATGTATTTTCATCCCTTGAAATGAATGAATATTTATTACTCCATATTATTTCTTTTGATCGGAGCACCGCACCTAAAGTATCGCGGCACTGGATATGAACCTTCACACGAACAATCGAGGTAATCGACCCACATGCCGTAGGGTATGCACTCCACACATACAATTGGATTAAACCCTAGAGCTTCTAGGAATGACAATTGGGTTGAACTATATTAAAAATTAAATTTAATCAACTACTAGTTCAAATCATAAGCCTGTAAATCTATTAATTTCTTTTTTATGTAAGATACTCTAGCAGACTAACATACACCATGTTTTTTAAAAAAAACTTTTACTATTAAAATATATTTATACAAATATCAAATAATTAGAAAAATGAATAGAAATATTTGCACTAAATAACACTAAAATTTAAGTCATTTCTCTAAATAGTACTTAAATTGTTTTATTTTCTAAATAACACTTAATAATGTGCATAATATCCAGTGATGGAGAACATTTATTTGAATAATGACTAAAAGTGCTATATTGGGAAAAAATACATGTAATGCTATATATGAAAAGTCCATTATGTTTCAGTGTTATTTACATAAGTTCCCCTAATGAATATTAGTTCCTATAAATTTAGGTTATTTAATTAATTGTTTAACCCAATCCATCATCATATCCATAATGTAAATTTTCATCTATTTGTAAAGGGTTTAATTTTTTAAAGTCCAACCCATGATTTTTTAGGTTTATGAATCTGCAAATTAAATGTTGAAACAATGGGTAACAGCATAGCGACTAGCGAGGATCTATCCTCGAGATACGGAGTATATAGTAGGATAAAGCTACTTGTACCCCATAATTTTGTACCCCACTTTGTACCCCGCAAGTTTGTACCAATACTTTGTGTTGGTGTAAAACTAATTTTTGTTAATGCACAAACACTTTGTGTCCGTGTAAATTTTTGTTAACGCACCAATACTTGTGTCGGTGCAAACCATCAAAATGTTTGTGTATGCCTGCGGTGTACAAATGGGGTACAATATGTGGTGTAAGTGTAGCATGACCCTATATAGTAATACAACGTGCCGGTTCTATGGCCACGTCACTATATTTCAGTGATACGAAAGTCATTGTTCCGATTTAGATATTTATGGTGCTCCGTTTGTAAAATTGATGATTCTTATCCTCTTAATCCCTTCAGTAAACCTCCACCCGCCCAGTCCTGATTCCAACTCATCCCCACCCATGCCAATAGAACCCATCAAGTTTAGTTGATTTTAAAGTAGAAAATTTTGACTTTAAAGTCAACTAAACTTGCGGGGTGCAATTAATATGAGTGAGCGGATGGGTTGGGGTCGGGACAGGGGGAGGGTAAGGAGATTTGAATTATCAATTTTACAAATAGAGGATCAAAGAGTGGCAGTGGCTTCCGTGACCACTCAAAATGAGTGGCCAATGAACCTAGCCGTAAGAAACCTCATTAAACAAAGTTATATATTACTGTAGTAATAAAAACTATAATTAACAACCTTGTGATAAAAAGTAAAATAATTAACCACCTTAGTTTGAAACTGTCCATGTTTGAAGAAAGAACTTCTTATTTCTAGAACGATTAGATTTTTCTCTATTAAAACGCTGTAATTTTGGAATTGAAGTTTTTATTTATTGTAATGGATAAATCTTCCATGCACAATTATATTGGTATATATATGCATCCACATTCATAGGTATGGCATAACGCTTGATAAAATTTTGTGTGCTTTTATTACTTATAGCATTAAATATGCATTTATACTAAGGGAGAAGAATCCAAATAAGAGTAAAATATTAAAAATTATACCCATTTTTTGTGGGATTCAACACAAGGAAAAAAGATCAAAGTGGAAGTAAAACATTGAAAACATATTAAAATAGAACTTTCATATTTTTATTCTCAAAATATGAGTTAAAATGTATTAAATTACCAAACATGGTCATGTAGATTACCAAAAAATATAGTAATATGCACATGTACAATGCCACATTACAACAGTGTGAACTCTTATCCCGAAAATAAAAATATGAAATGCATTTGATATTTTTTCTATGTTTTAATCTTATTTATGGTAATTTATCTCCAGTATTGTTAATTAAGTTGAAAAAAACGCATGCATCCTCTCGTTTTTAATTTCATCTTCTCTCCCCTAAAAAAATAACGTCCTAAATTTATGTTATGTTTATATATAGCACTAGCATGAAACGCATTTTGTGCGTTTGGTGCCCAACATTGAAAGAAAATTACAAAAGTAAAATGTGTGATTTTATGGTGCCTTAAAATTGTTCTAGACTTTGATCTAAAAGACTTAATACTTCGTAAATTTTAAACTTTGCATCATGTAATTGGAGGTGCGAGTGGTGCCCTGAGGGGAAACGGTGAAACCTATGTTTGGATTGCTACTACTATGTACTACTACTCAAAGCCTCAAACCAAATACAAGCGGGTTGGTCTGAAAATTTATACTTTTTCTCTCAATTAGATCAACTGGTGTTAAGCATCATACTACATGATGTGTTTAAGACGTAGTCTTATACAAAATGGCACAATACCATTCCGACCACGGCAATAAAGATACCAAGGATTCCACCAGCTGAAATAGTCATGAAGGAGAACACATCCATATACTAACACAAGGCATGTTTCAGATCCGATGTCCTAATACTTAGTATGTCACTGGAGATGTCTTCCTAATCACAAGAAAAGTAGTGAAGTTCTCAGAAACTGATACTGAGAAAGCTGGAACAAAGAATGCCTGCCACCAGAATTTAAAAGCGTTAACTGGTTTTGCAATAATTATAAACATATTTAGGAAGTATTAAATGTATTGTATTCCTTAGCAGCACTTTTGGAATGTATTTGGATGCAAACACATACGGAGTACTTATTTGATAAAAACCTATCAGCAATCAGTCCAGTAATAAACATACTAATTGCATGATAAGGGCACGATTGGTAATGAAGTTGTGTCTCATTTGGGTGAGACTGATTAAGATACCCAAAGAGTTGGCAACAAAAAATAACAAGAGATATGTATGGTAACATTTTGACCTTGAAGTGACTTTTAATCTTAAGAGACATTTGAGAGTGTGTGCGCGCACACACACATGAGTGTGTTGTGTTTACAAGTTAGCCCCTGATTTATAATTTCACATCCCTGTCTTCAAATCATGTAAGGGATCTTGGAATCTCACTCTTGATCTTTTTGATGCCTAAATCATCTATATGAAAGTTTTAGAATTGCCGCTATTTTTTTTTTACAATTAGGGCCATTCTTTTGGTTGCTCAGTAACACACACATAAGGTGATTGAATACAATTTGGGCAATGCAATCGTGATAATGGAAGGTAAAGATAAAAAGAGCCCAACAAGTTGGGCTATAAATCGGTAACTGTTGCACGTCCAACACCAAAGAGAAAGACACCCAAGGCAACCTCGAATAATCTTACTTCTTTCCTTTTTTTTTAACATTCCAAAATAATATTCACTCTCCTTAACGGTCCGTTTGGAATGGGGAAAATGATTTCTAGAAAATGACTTCTGGAAAATGAGTTATTTTGTAATGGGAATTTGTAATATTCATTAGTTTTTGAAAAGGAAAAAGTGAAAAATGAATTGTAATCTTATAACTTCCAATGAATTCCTATTAGCAAAGTCTATTAACTAAATACACATGACTACATGAGCATTTTATTAGATGTTATTAATCGAGACCCAACAATTAACATAAATTAGGAACAGTAGAGCAAAGCAGATGGAAAGAGATAAAGAGGAAAACTATAAGACAATACCTAAAGTGCCCCCCTTTATCCATCTCTAACAATAGAAATAGAGAACCCTATATCTTAAAAATGAAATAAAAATAATGTTTGAATCCAAAGTAAATAACACACCAAAATGGAGAACCCTATTTCTTAATTTCCTAACAAGAAGCATAAAATTCAATTTCAAAGAACCAAATACATATAGGGAAGCCTAATGGATTGTTTTAATTTTTGAAATTTAAAAAAAATCGAATAAGCTACAAGAAAGGGAAAGAGAACCCTATAGAAATATGGCAGCATAATTCCTTAATCTTTAGTTTCGAAGAACCTGTAGAAACATTCAGATTCAAACAGCCAAAAAAAGGGAAACCTATTTCTGGAATTAAAAAATGGATCGCAATTCACAAAATTAAAATTAGGGGCAAATCATCAAGTAAATAAACACAATCTCTAGTAGAACAAAGAGCCCTGTTTTTTAAAAGCAAAACGAAATTGGCCGGTCATAGAGCGTCTCATCTCAGCGCATGAAATTACAATTAGAAAGAGTTTTCTACAGGAGCGAGTANATAATTCCTTAATCTTTAGTTTCGAAGAACCTGTAGAAACATTCAGATTCAAACAGCCAAAAAAAGGGAAACCTATTTCTGGAATTAAAAAATGGATCGCAATTCACAAAATTAAAATTAGGGGCAAATCATCAAGTAAATAAACACAATCTCTAGTAGAACAAAGAGCCCTGTTTTTTAAAAGCAAAACGAAATTGGCCGGTCATAGAGCGTCTCATCTCAGCGCATGAAATTACAATTAGAAAGAGTTTTCTACAGGAGCGAGTAATGTATTTACCTCGACGTCGGAAGAACAGAATGCAGAAGAGTGCGAGAGTGATGCATTTGTCGAAAGACACAGAGTGGAGGAGAAGATTGGAGAACGAAGAAGGCAGTGAAGAATAGATAAGGAAGAAGGCGGTGAGCAACAGTACATTACACTGCACAGTAGATAAGCGCCGTTTGGAGAACAAACGGAAAAAGACGGACTGAACGCACGGAAAAAGGACCAACTTCACGGAGGGAAACGTGGTTGGGCCTTATAATATAAGGGGGGATTGTTGTTTTATCTTTCACGTGACACTTTTTACCTTCCTCTAAAAATATTCTTAAAATTTGATAAATCTAAATGCAGTGGTAAGAGCACTGGTAATACGTTTGAAGACCCGGGGTTTAAAACAGGGGCTTCAAACTATCTCTCTCTGCCACGTCAGCTTTAACTTACACCCAAAATTCACCGGAAATGGGTTTGAAGTCCTGGGGCTGCAAACTGGGACTTCAAACCTTCATTTTTTACATTTTTAAATATACATCTTCTAAAATTAAATTAATAAATTTAAATTAATTTATTATTTAATTAAATTGAAACACGAATAATAAAAAAAATACATTAATTAAATAAAAAAAGCGACAATAATTAAAAAAAAGATACATTAATAAAAAAAACTAAGGTAAATTATATTTCTCCTTGATCTCTCTCATTCTTTGCTCGTAGATAATTCGTCCAAACTCCGACAACGTCCCGGGGTCGGTTTGCATGACTTTCATCTCGGCCTCCTGCTCCTTTATCTTCAACTCCTTCTCCTTTAGCTTCAACCTCTCATGTTCCTGAACGCCCGAAGTTGTTCAACCATTGCCCGGCCGATTTCGTCGCGGGGAGAAGCGGAAATAGAGGCGGACCCTCCCGAACCAGAGGCAATGGATTTTGCCTTCTTTCTTCCGATCGGCCGTGGAATGAGGTCTTCGTCATCGGAATCCGCAACGTTGAAGGAAGGGATTTGATCGGTAGAACCGATGGTCTCGTCGACCTCAACCTCGGCGTCGACGGTGGATCTTTTCCGGAACGATCCGCCGTCGGGATTGTTGAGTTGTTGCCACTTCGGGGAACGACTCAAAATCGTCCAAAGATCGATGGGCACCTTGCCTTGGTTCCCGTCGTCTTGATACCGGGTCGTGGCAACCCGGAGAACATCGGCGTCGTTTTGTGCCGCTCCTCCGGGACCGGGAGCATTCCTCGTAAACTCCCATAAACTTTTGGACTTTTTTGTTGATGTGGCTCCATTTGGAAGTGAGTTGGTCCCGGGTTCGGTAGGAGCCGTCCTTCTTCATCGCCGTGAAGAACTTCTCCTCGATACGATCCCACATCGCATCCTTCGTTTGCTCCGTACCTTTAAAGAAGTATTACACAATTTTTTTTGACACCATTAAATATAATATATATAAATAAAAACATAAATATATTAGAAAAAATAAATTTCCTACCAATGATAGGATGCTCGGAGACGTCAACCCAAGCCGACGCCAATATGCACTCCTCCTCCGGCGTCCACTTTTGGATTGACCGTGCCGCCTCGGTCAACGTGCTTTTGGCTTTGTGGCTCCTCCGGCGTGTACTTTTTTTCGATCCGGACGGTTCCGGTTGAGTCTCCGGAACCGAATCTCGGTCGACGTACCCCGATTGTTGCGTCTCGTANTACCAATGATAGGATGCTCGGAGACGTCAACCCAAGCCGACGCCAATATGCACTCCTCCTCCGGCGTCCACTTTTGGATTGACCGTGCCGCCTCGGTCAACGTGCTTTTGGCTTTGTGGCTCCTCCGGCGTGTACTTTTTTTCGATCCGGACGGTTCCGGTTGAGTCTCCGGAACCGAATCTCGGTCGACGTACCCCGATTGTTGCGTCTCGTACATCGGCGGTCGATCGCCCAACTCTTGGTAATACCACATCGCGGCGTCGACGGGTGGGAGATCGTCGGGAAAGAAGCCAGAGCCGGAATGATTCATGTTGAATAGAAAGAGGGTAATTTCGAATTTTAAAATGGGAAGAAGAAGAGATTGAGAAGAGAAAGTGTGAGAGATTGGGAGGGGGGGTTTGAATTTATAAGATTTTTTTTTAAATGGGATAAACGGCTATAAAGCCGTTGGGAAGGGGAGGGGTTTGGAATGATGCCGCGTCATTCGTTTGACGCAGGGGCGATCACGCCCGGAGGGGGGCGGTGTTTAACGCCGGCGGGGCGTTAAACGCCCCCTCACGCCGTGGGGCGTTGCTGGTATTACCAGTGCTCTAATGCTGGTAACGCCTCATGGCATCATTGCACTTTTAATGCCCAAGGAGCGTTAAACACCACCCCTGGAGCTTCATTCGGGCGATATTGGCACTGCGCCAAACTTATAACAGGCGTTTTGCACTGAATCACACCGTTCAAACGGCTACAAGCCGTTACAAACTAAAAAAAAACTCTTCTATAAATTAACTCATTTTTAAAAATAAAATCACAAACAAAATCTTTCTTCTTCAATTTTTTTAAAGAAAATTAAATACCCAAAAAATCTTTTCCTCTATCTTCTTCAAATTAAAAAAATTATTTAATTTTTTTCCATCTCTTTTAACATGAATCTCTTCAGCTTTAATGTTCCTTTGTCCGGTCTCGAGTCAAATATAATGACCAAGCAAATACAATTTTCTTTCGAGAGAAGACATAACGAGATCAAAGCTGACGTAACAGAGAGAAAAATTTTGAAGCCCCGAAGCTTCAAAGGTATTTCGAGTGCTCTAATTGTATTGAGGTGCAAACCCTATCCTAGATCGGAAGTGGAGAAGAAGATAAACCTAAATAAATAGGTCCAACGTAACTCATTAGTATGCAGCTTTTTTATAAGGTGTCTTAGTAGGAATTCAAACCAAACATTAGTAATTACTTAGTATGCATGGCTGCATACCACAAATCTTTGTGTTAGGGCACTAGAAATACGTATGAAGTCCTGAGGCATCAAATAAGGGCTTCAAACTTTCTCTTTTCGTCACGTCAACTTTAACTTACTTCACTGATTAACTGGAAATTGGTTTGAAGTCCCGGGATTTCAAACAAGGACTTCAAAGCTTCATTTTTTGCATTTTTAAATAAATATCTTCTAAAACTAAATTAATAAATTTAATTATTTCATTATTTAATCATATTGACATGAGAATTATTCAAAAAAATTACATTCATTAAATTAAAAGAAATTAAAGCAATAATAATTAAAGAAGTTATATTTATTAAATTTACAAAAAATTAAAGCGGCAATAATAGAAATACATTAATAAAAAACTATGGTAAATTATATTTAGTCTTGATCTTTTTTTGTTTTCTCTCCATGATCATACGTTTGAAGCCCGATAATGTATCAAGGTAAGTTTTCATTATTTGGATCTCTTCCTTCTCGCCCTCTCTTCTTCTTGAATATTGAACATCTCAAGTTGTTCAACCATTGCCCGATCGATATCATTGTGAGAAAAAACAGAAATAGAGCCAGACCCTTCAGAACACGAGGCAATGAATTTTGCCTTCTTTCTTCCGATCGGCCGTGGAATAGGGTCCTCATCATCGAAATTGTTAATGTTGAAGGGAGGCCTTTGTTTGGAGGAACCGATAATGTCATCGACCTCAACCTTGGCATCGACGGAGGAACTTTTCTTTGAGGATCAGGTGTCGGAATTGTGGAGTTGTTGCCATTTTGGTGAACGCCTTAAAATTCTCCAAAGATTGATGAGCACCTTGCCTTGGTGCCCTTCGTCTTGATATCGGGCCGTGGAGAGTCGGAGAACATTGGCGTCGTTCGTCCCGCTCCTTCGTGACCGAGCACATTCCTCGTAAACTCTGATAAACTTTCGGACTTTACGGTTGATGTGGCCCATTTGGAAGTGAGTAGGTCCTGAGTACAGTACGAGGCGTCCTTGTTCATCGCCGTAAAGAACTTCTCCTCGATACGATCTCACATCGCATCTTTCGTTTGCTCCGAACCTTAAAAACCATAACACGAATTTTTTTTTAACACAAATACATAACACGAATATATAAATAAGAACACAAATATATTAGAAAACATATAATTTTCACCAACAAGCACTCTTCCCCCGACGTCCACTTTTGGATTGCCTGTGCCGGCTCGGTCATCGCTTGAGTGCCTTTCACTTTGTGGCTTTTCTGTCATGCATTTTTTTGTGCCGGATGGTTCCGGTTGAGTCTCCAGAACCGACTCCCGCTCATAGACGTACGCCAATGGTTGCGTCTTGAATAACGTTGGATTACTCCTGTATTGTTGGAAGATCCACATGGCGTGCTCGTTAGGCTCGAGATCGTCAGGGGAAAAGCCGGAGCCGGAGGGTTTCATGTTAAAACAAGTTGAAGGAATGAAAGATGTGAAGAAGATTATATTGAGAATTATTGGAGATTAAAGAAAGGAGAGATGTGAAGCTGATTGAAGGGCTGAGATCGAAATTTATAAAAAAAATAATTAATTTTTTATTAAAGTGTAACGGCTAATTTAGCCGTTGGGGGGAGGGGAAGTTGCGTCAAACGTCTGACGCCAATCAGTGACGCTGGAGTAATGCCCTATGGGGGGCGGTGTTTAACGCCCAAGCGGCGTTAAACGACGCATGCCCCCCCGTGTTACGTGTATATCCGTTGCTCCTAGGGCACTGGAAATACGTATGAAGCCTGGGGCTTCACACCGGGCTTCAAACTTTCTCTCTCTGCCACGCCGGCTTTAACTTACCTTACAGATTCACTAGAAATGGATTTGAAGCCCCGAGACTTCAAACCTTCATTTTTTAAATTTTTAAATAAACATCTTCTAAAACTAAAGTAATGCAATTTAATTATTTCATTATTTTTTTTGAAAGTAATTATTTCATTATTTAATGAAATTGAAACGAAAATAATTTAAAAAAGGTACATTCATTAAATTAAAAACAATTAAAGCGACAATAATTAAAACGAATACATTAATAAAAAAAACCAAGGTAAATTAATGCAATTTAATTATTTCATTATTTAATTAAATTGAAACGAAAATAATTTAAAAAAGGTACATTCATTAGATTAAAAACAAATAAAGCGACAATAATTAAAACGAATACATTAATAAAAAAACCAAGGTAAATTATATTTAGCATTGATATCTTTTTGTCTTCTCTCAAAGATCATACGTTTGAAACCGGGTAAATTTCACGTATGGTACACCAACTTTGACGTTTATTTCACTTCGGTATACCAACTTTGTTTTCTTTCAGAAAAGTACACCAACTTAACACTTTCTTTCACCGATGGTATTTTAGCCGGTTTCCAGGTTAAAAGCCGGTTACCCATCTTACGTGGATGCCTACTTGGCGCACCCAATCCTACGTGGATGTCTACTCTTCTATTTTTTTACAATATTCATCATCTTTAATATAAAACTTACTCCGTATTTAAATTAATGCAAATAGTTTTTTATTAATAAAAATAGATAAATAATTATAAATAAAATAAAATTATAAATTCAAAATTAAAAAAAATAAATAAAAAGATTAAAATTAATTAAATATTAAATATTGGAATTAAAAAAATTGAAATTAAAAAATTCAAAATTGATTACATTAAAGAAGGGTTTAGAATTAAAACAAATGAAATAGAAAAAATTGAGGAAAAAATAAAAAGATTAAAATTAAGGAAATTGAAACAATAAACAATAAAAAGATTAAAACAAATGAAATTGAAAAAAAATTGAGGAAGAAGAAATCTACCTGCTGAGATCGCCACTGCTAAAGAAGAAATTTGCCGCTGTTGAGGAAGAAGTCCACCCGGAGGCCTTCTAGAGCTCCCCCCTTTCTGCTGAGATCTGTCGCTGCTGCCAGCGGCGTTCCCGGAAAACCGCCCACCATACTTAAGTTCTCTTCCGCCTCGAAAGAAATTACGTTTCTCTCCGCCGCCGAAGATTCCCCTCCATGAATTTGAAGTTATGGAGCGGAGAGAGGGTGGAGCAACGGCTCGCGTGGTGGATTTGGATAGCCGAACATTTCAACAGGGGATGATGCGTCAGAGGAGAGAGGAGAGAGGGGAGAGAAGAAGGGAGTGATTTAAATTGGTGCGCCAAGTAGACATCCATGTAGGATAGGTAACTGGCTCTTAACCTAGAAACCGGCTAAAATACCATCGTTGAAAGAAAGTGTTAAGTTGGAGTACTTTTTGTGAAAGAAAACAAAGTTGGTATACAGAAGTGAAATAAACGTCAAAATTGGTGTATCATACGTGAAATTTACCCGTTTGAAGCCTAATAACGTATCAAGGTCGGTTTCCATTATTTCGATCTCTTCCTTTCTTCTCGTCTTCTCTTCTTCTCGAGATCGTCGGGGGAATAGTCGGACCCGGAGGGATTCATGTTAACAAAAGTTGAAGAAATGAAAGATGTGAAAAAGATTGAGAATTGGAGATTGAAGAAAGAAAAGATGTGAAGAAGATTGAAGGATTGAGTTTGATATTTATAAAAAAAATAATTAAAGATTTTTTTAAAAATGTTAATGGCTAAATTAGCCGTTGGGGGAGGGGGGAGCCGCGTCAAACTTCTAACGCAGGGAAGTGACGTCGGCATACCACCTAAAGGTGGCGTTAAACACCCCATGGCACCCTCCTGACGTCAAGGGCATTTCCACTCCTCTTATTAGAATAGTATGCTTATTTACCAAGTGATGGGTATATTACATACCCAGGTATACTCATCGATACCGAGGTGACATGTCAACCGCGAGGTCGGGTGACCAGTGACGGGTCGGGTCTTACAGATTCGACTAGACGACTTGTTGGGGCATGACAGATAGGTGACCGGTCACCCCGGAAATTAGGTGACCGGTCACGATCTACTTTTCCGAACTTGGCAAATTGAGTATTGGGGACACGACGTTAGGTGACCGGTCACGACTTTACTCTTCAAGAATGGTCGTTAGAGAACTTTTGGGCGCGACATTTGGTGACCGGTCACCCCCGGAAGATAGGTGACCGGTCACACTTTCGGTTTTCGAAGATGAACCTTGGAAGCTATTTTAGAAAAGTCGTGAATGACCGGTCACCCCCGGGTTGGGAGACCGGTCACTATCTTGAGCTCTTGAGGAATGAAGCATAGGGCTCCGTACAACTTGACCGGTCTCACTTTTGAGTTTCGATCTATGGATCATGGCCGGACGTATCCGCCTCCCCCAAACCCTAGTATCTAGGAGACCAATGGAGGGACCCACGCCCGTCACTCAAGAGATCAGTGTGGAAAAGTCCTTTGGCACCATCCTAGATTTGTATTCAATCAACATATCTGATTGCACAGTGATAGATGCTGTCTGGTTATTTGTCCTTAAGTGGGCAGCTTCCATGCACCTACTGAGCCTCCTCTACTCTATAAATAATCTGTGATAGAGAGAGGAGAAGGCATTCACTACTACTTCCATAAAATCCTATACACTCTTCTTAGAGTAAGAAATATATTCGGACTCGGGAGATTTCCCCCGGTCTAGTTAATTCTGTGTTGTGTTCCTTACTTTTAAGCTTACCTTTATTTACCCAGTTAGGCCTCCCTAACCCGACCCAGTTACCTACTTCCCATACCCGGTGGAATTTACACCATCATTTGGCGCCACTCGTGGGGCTGGTTTTTTGAGAAAAATCTTGCCCAGCAAAGTTTCTTATACCCACGAAATACCCACAACAATGTCTTATAGCAGCCATCCTGTTATTTTTGAGCTCCAACTATCTACCGTCCCGACAGTAACGACTAGCGTAGGGACAACTTTTGCCCCACCTCTTAACTTCACATTTCTCTTCCGTAAAATAGATCATAATGATTGAAATGCAAGTATCCAGATCATGGTGTACATATAGTTTTATGCACAAAGGTTTCTTATCTTTAAGACAACTTGATTTGACCTAATCCTAAAAAGTTCACAAACCCGAGACTTGTGCAGACGACAAACATAAAACACACGAGAGCAACTTCAGGTAAACTTCCTCTTGCCAATCACTGTGAAGTAATGTGCTACATACATATTCAACATGCAATGTAAACTCACACTAACCACAAGAGAGACACGAACCATAACGGGTTTGTTTATGGTTGAGCATTGTACTCCCCCCTCCACCCTCACCCAGTCCCATAAAAAAGACTCGTATTTTAGAAGCACTCAATTAATAAATAACTTGAGACACTAAGAAGATAACGAAGAGAAAGATGTAAATCCATGTGATATTAGGAAAAAGCCATACATACTTAATCTATTAACTCCCCAACAACAAAACAACTAAAGAAATAGAAAAGAAAAATAAAGAAACAAATGTTTGAACAACAACAACATTACAAAAACAACACAAACAAGTAAAAAAATGACATGTACCTGCAATTCTGCAACAACTGGATCTACCCAAGACTGACCATCATGTTTCTTCGTTTTTGTGTGGATGATAACCTCATCCAACGACACAGGTGCTCCTTTCTTCTTAGACTATAATATTCAAAGAACAAGTGTAATAAATTTTATATTTAGTATCAACCCGATTACCATTAAGTGTCTTATTTTTATAAAATATATCTTACCAATCGATTCATATTTTCAGAAAATGGAATAGAACCTCCACAATACGTCCCTAAAGCGGGACCATCCTCCCTTCCCTTTCGCCTATTCTTCTTTTTGGTCTTACTCACCTCTTGAAACTCTGGATCCTCATCCCAAATCTATAGTTGTATATTTAATAAACATTGCATGTATATAGTGACCCATTATAAAATATATATACACACACACCCTTTTAAGCTTCTGAAATGGTCGTGGGTCCATTCTCTTTTTTTCAACCGGTTGGGGTTCCTCACATTGTATGTGTAACCTGAGTACCGTTGAGCAGCTTTCTTGAGAAATGCTTTCCTTAGCTTCCCCTCATCGATTGCCGGATCTGGTCGAGCATTTTTCTACATTCATCGACATCATTAAAAATCCAAGAAGTTATTACTTAAAAACACATCACTGTTTTTAAGTGTGAAACTAGTAACATAATTAATCTCAGAAAAAACCTTGAACTCTCGAAAGTAGAACTCCTTCACTGACTGTGGGACATCACGCCAAGACTTGCCTGCCGGGTCCGTCTTCTCATAGAATGCTAGAGTGATGAGTGCAGCACCAGCCCTAGTGATCGTAACCCTGTAAAAAAATAATTAGTTAAATGTAAATATTTTAATGCATAGCATGAATAATCTTAAAATGTACTATATCACATACTCGTCATCTGAATTGACATACAAAAACCGACCCCCATCACGAGGTCCCTCCCGCCGATCCTCAGCATTGAGCTCTTCATCTTCGCGACCCTCCCTATTCAAGTCCTCTATGCGGCGGTCTTCATTCAACTCTTCTTCTTCACGATCGTCGCCATTTAGCTCCTCCTCTTCACGGCCATCTTCACCGTAGTTGAAATCCTCACTCTCCCCGACCCTAGAACCTATAATTTTTTTTGTTATCATTAAAGCATTAACATTAAGCTAATTTAAAGTTATTTTCA